ATAGAGATAGATAGATAGATAGCTAGATAGATAGATAGATAGATGATAGATAGATAGATAGATAGATTATAGATAATAGATAGATAGATAGATAGATAGATAGATAGATAGATAGATAGATAGACAGATAGATAGAATAGATAGAAGATAGGATAGATAGATAGATAGATAGTCGATAGATAGATAGATAGATAGATAGATAGATAGATAGATTAGATAGATAGAAGATAGATAGATAGATAGATAGATAGATAGATAGATAGATAGATAGATAGATAGATAGATAGATAGATAGATAGATAGATTAGATAGATAGAGTAGATAGATAGATAGATAGATAGATAGATAGATAGATAGCTAGATAGATAGCTAGATAGATAGCTAGCTAGATATAGATAATAGATAGATAGTATAGCTAGTCTATAGTGTAGTCTCTGTCTAGTCTATACTCTAGTCTATAGTTAGTCTATAGTCTAGTCTATACTCTAGTCTCTATTCTAGTATATAGTCTAGTCTATAGTCTAGTCTATAGTCTAGTCTATAGTCTAGTCTATAGTCTAGTCTATAGTCTAGTCTATAGTCTAGTCTATAGTCTAGTCTTAGTCTAGTCTATAGTCTAGGTCTATAGTCTAGTCTATAGTCTAGTCTATAGTCTAGTCTATAGTCTAGTCTATAGTCTAGTCTATAGTCTAGTCTATAGTATAGTCTATAGTCTAGTTATCGTCTAGTCTATAGTCTAGTCTATAGTCTAGTCTATAGTCTATGTCTATAGTCTAGTCTATAGTCTAGTCTAGTAGTCTTAGTCTATAGTCTAGTCTATAGTCTAGTCTATAGTCTAGTCTATAGTCTAGTCTATAGTCTAGTCTATAGTCTAGTCTATGTCTATAGTCTAGTCTAGTCTCTAGTCTAGTCTATAGTCTAGTCTATAGTCTAGTCTATAGTCTAGTCTATAGTCTAGTCTATAGTCTAGTCTATAGTCTAGTCTTATTTAGTCTAGTCTATGTCTATCGTTCCATAGTCTAGTCGATAGGTCTAGTCATAGTCTTAGTCTATAGTCTAGTCTATAGTCTAGTCTCTAGTAGTCTAGTCTATAGTCTAGTCTATTAGTCTAGTCTAGTCTAGTCTAGTCTATCGTCTAGTTCTAGCATATCGTATAGTCTATTGTCTAGTCTATAGTCGTAGTCTATAGTCTAGTCTATAGTCTAGTCTAGTCTATAGTCTAGTCTATAGTCTAGTCTATATGTCTAGTTTCTATAGTCTGTCTATAGCCTTAGTCTATAGTCTAGTCCTAGTCTTATAGTTCTAGGTCTATTAGTCTCGTCTATAGTCTAGTCTATAGTCTAGTCTATAGTCTAGTCTATAGTCTAGTCTATAGTCTAGTATATAGTCCTAGTCTATATCTAGTCTAGTCCTTGTCTAGTCTATGTCTAGTCTATAGTCTAGTCTATAGTCTAGTCTATAGTCTAGTCTATAGTCTAGTCTATAGTCTAGTCTATAGTCTAGTCTATAGTCTAGTCTATAGTCTAGTCTATAGTCTAGTCTATAGTCTAGTCCTATAGTCTAGTCTATAGCCTAGTCTATAGTCTAGTCTATAGTCTAGTATATAGTCTAGTCTATAGTCTAGTCTATAGTATAGTCTATAGTCTAGTCTATAGTCTAGTCTATAGTCCTAGTCTATAGTCTAGCTATTAGTCTAGTCTATAGTCTAGTCTATAGTCTAGTTATAGTCTAGGTCTATCAGTCTAGTCTATAGTCTAGTCATAGTCTAGTCTATAGTCTAGTCTATAGTCTAGTCTATAGTCTAGTCTCTAGTCTAGTCTATAGTCTAGTCTATAGTCTATAGTCTATAGTCTAGTCTATAGTCTAGTCTATAGTCTAGTCTATAGTCTAGTCCTATAGTCTAGTCTATAGTCTAGTCTATAGTCTAGTCTATAGTCTAGTCTAGTCTAGTCTATAGTCTAGTCTATAGTCTAGTCTATAGTCTAGTCTATAGTCTAGTCTATAGTCTAGTCTATAGTCTAGTCTATAGTCTAGTCTATAGTCTAGTCTATAGTCTAGTCTATAGTCTAGTCTATAGTCTAGTCTATAGTCTAGTCTATAGTCTAGTCTATAGTCTAGTCTATAGTCTAGTCTATAGTCTAGTCTATAGTCTAGTCTATAGTCTAGTCTATAGTCTAGTCTATAGTCTAGTCTATAGTCTAGTCTATAGTCTAGTCTATAGTCTAGTCCATAGTCTAGTCTATAGTCTAGTCTATAGTCTAGTCTATAGTCTAGTCTATAGTCTAGTCTATAGTCCAGTCTATAGTCTAGTCTATAGTCTAGTCTATAGTCTAGTCTATAGTCTAGTCTATAGTCTAGTCTATAGTCCAGTCTATAGTCTAGTCTATAGTCTAGTCTATAGTCTAGTCTATAGTCTAGTCTATAGTCTAGTCTATAGTCTAGTCTATAGTCTAGTCTATAGTCTAGTCTATAGTCTAGTCTATAGTCTAGTCTATAGTCTAGTCTATAGTCTAGTCTATAGTCTAGTCTATAGTCTAGTCTATAGTCTAGTCTATAGTCTAGTCTATAGTGTAGTCTATAGTCTAGTCTATAGTCTAGTCTATAGTGTAGTCTATAGTCTAGTCTATAGTGTAGTCTATAGTCTAGTCTATAGTCTAGTCTAGTATATAGTCTAGTCTAGTATATAGTCTAGTCTAGTCTAGTCTAGTCTATAGTCTAGTCTATAGTTTAGTCTATAGTCTAGTCTATAGTTTAGTCTATAGTCTAGTCTATAGTTTAGTCTATAGTCTAGTCTATAGTTTAGTCTATAGTCTAGTCTATAGACTAGTCTGTGGTCTAGTCTATAGTCTAGTCTATAGTCTAGTCTATAGTCTAGTCTATAGTCTACTCTATAGTCTAGTCTATAGTCTACTCTATAGTCTAGTCTATAGTCTAGTCTATAGTCTAGTCTATAGTCTAGTCTATAGTCTAGTCTATAGTCTAGTCTATAGTCTAGTCTATAGTCTAGTCTATAGTCTAGTCTATAGTCTAGTCTATAGTCTAGTCTATAGTCTATAGTCTAGTCTATAGTCTAGTCTATAGTCTAGTCTATAGTCTAGTCTATAGTCTAGTCTATAGTCTAGTCTATAGTATAGTCTAGTCTACAGTATAGTCTACAGTATAGTCTATAGTCTAGTCTATAGCCTAGTCTATAGCCTAGTCCATAGTCTAGTCTATAGCCTAGTCTATAGTCTAGTCTATAGCCTAGTCTATAGTCTAGTCTATAGACTAGTCTGTGGTCTAGTCTATAGTCTAGTCTATAGTCTAGTCTATAGTCTAGTCTATAGTCTAGTCTATAGTCTAGTCTATAGTCTAGTCTATAGTCTAGTCTATAGTCTAGTCTATAGTCTAGTCTATAGTCTAGTCTATAGTCTAGTCTATAGTCTAGTCTATAGTCTAGTCTATAGTCTAGTCTATAGTAGTCTAGTCTAGTCTATAGTCTAGTCTATAGTCTAGTCTATAGTCTAGTCTATAGTCTAGTCTATAGTCTAGTCTATAGTCTAGTCTATAGTCTAGTCTATAGTCTAGTCTATAGTCTAGTCTATAGTCTAGTCTATAGTCTAGTCTATAGTCTAGTCTATAGTCTAGTCTATAGTCTAGTCTATAGTCTAGTCTATAGTCTAGTCTATAGTCTAGTCTATAGTCTAGTCTATAGTCTAGTCTATAGTCTAGTCTATAGTCTAGTCTATAGTCTAGTCTATAGTCTATAGTCTAGTCTATAGTCTAGTCTATAGTCTAGTCTAGTCTATAGTCTAGTCTAGTCTATAGTCTAGTCTAGTCTTTAGTCTAGTCTAGTCTAGTCTATAGTCTAGTCTATAGTCTAGTCTACAGTCTAGTCTATAGTCTAGTCTATAGTCTAGTCTATATTCTAGTCTATATTCTAGTCTATAGTCTAGTCTATAGTCTAGTCTATAGTCTAGTCTATAGTCTAGTCTATAGTCTAGTCTATAGTCTAGTCTATAGTCTAGTCTATAGTCTAGTCTATTAGTCTAGTCTATAGTCTAGTCTATAGTCTAGTCTATAGTCTAGTCTATAGTCTAGTCTATAGTCTAGTCTATATCTAGTCTATAGTCTAGTCTATAATTCTAGTCTATAGTCTAGTCTATAAGTCTAGTCTATAGTCTAGTCTATAGTCTAGGGTCTAAGTCTAGTCTATAGTCTAGTCTATAGTCTAGTCTATAGTCTAGTCTATAGTCTAGTCTATAGTCTAGTCTTATAGTCTAGTCTATAGTCTAGTCTAGTCTAGTCTATAGTCTAGTCTATAGTCCAGTCTATAGTGGACATCTGTTACTTGCAATAATAACGGTTTTTCTACTTTTCATCCTTACATCCTTAAAATTTAAAATAATTTTTTATTTCCCTGAAATACAAACATATTTGTAGTAGAAACAATTATTTCCATTTTTAAAACTTACAGTTATACACAACCATACATATTTCCTAAAACACTTTCCTGAATTGATTTATATGGCCACTTAAAATAATATAAAAAATAGACAAGAATATTTTATAAATTTTATTATTGTTAGTTTCAGGTGAACTGGATTTCATTTTGTTTCGTTATATTTTTCTGACATGGAAATAAGCACCATTATTTATAAGCACATTTTAAGTGAATAAAAAAAGTGGGTATTAATAGTTAAACTGATAATTTTAGCATTAAATAATAAGTGTGAATATTAATAATATTTAAAAATTAAATGGTTGCAGTGACAAGCATTTCTTGTTACAAGCACCATCATCTATCAGGCCCAAAGTTTTTCCAGGTCCGGCCATAATATTTTTACTTTTTGTTTCTTTTGTCTTCTAATATTTATTATAATAGAAATAAAGGAAATCCTCTTTAATAAACAATTTGTCATTTTTCTACTTAACAAACATATTTATGTTTTCTTAAAGTTTATCATTTTTCTTATTGTCTACTTTCCTTTTAAATAATATATTTTTTTGTTTCTTTGCAGAAAATGTACCTGTCGTTTGTTTGATATTTGCAAAAAAACATAATATACGATTCCATGTTATACTACAATTGATACCTTTTTGTTTTGTTGTAGAGAAAAATGAAAAAAATATCAAAAGTAACCGAATAAAATATAAGTAGGTGAGTACATAAAAATAATATCTACTTAAGTATTTATAAAATAATAAAAAAAAAAAAATAAAATTTCTTGCCCACATCAGGCTCATTTATTGATTTGCGTTTGCTTTTACAAATATTTACAAACAGTGTGACTAATAGTAGTTCATACTTTTTTTCATTAAGTGTGACAACTAAACTAATTCAAAATCCAAAATAATGTTTAATATTAAGTTTTTACTTTTGTCTCCTTTATTTTTTGTTCCTCTGTATTTGTTGTTTATATTTGGCAACATCTTCAATTTAAGTAGATATATTTTCTTGTTTTTTTTTGCTACTTTTCTGCTCATAATGTGAAACTTTTATAAATAACACGTGCCACAGATCAAACTCATTTTATACGTCCATTCATTCACAGATACATTTCAATGACAGTTAGATATATTTTTTTCACTCCCAGGACTATTGTTATCTCTACCTACATACCACAAAAAAATATTTAAATTTTACTCATTATGAGGAGCTTTTTAGTACAGAACTATTTTTAACTTCCTGATATTTATAAAATTTATCCTATTTTAACTCCCACAACATTAATGGGTTAATTTCGATACGTATTTACCCCCTTATTCATAAACACAATTTTATTTTATAAAAGATTAATAAATCAAATTTCGTATGGGAATTTTGTTTTATAAACCTTTTATAAAATAAAATGTTGTTTATGAATAGGGGGGTTAATCTTTGAATCCAATCAAATTTAGGTTCAAACTAAAGACCAATCGTAACCTTGTGCATGTGAAAATTTCGCATGAATCACACAGTTGTACTTATGAGAGGACTAGTCTAAGAACTTTTTACTAAAAAATTTGTTCTGAATCTGAGCAACATTTAGCTATAAAAGTTGTTCAGACTATAAGCTATTTTTTGCTAAAAATGTGGTTCAGACCCTGATCAGCTTTTTACTAAAAAATTTGTTCAGACTGATCAGTTTTTTACTACAAAAGTTGGTCAGATTCTGATCAACTTTTTACTAGAACAGTTGTTCAGACTGTGATCAGCATTTTACTAGAAAATTTATTCAGACTCTGATCAACTTTTTACCTGAAAACATGTTCAGACTCTGATCAATTTTTACTAGAAAAGTTGTTCAGACTCAGAGCAACTTTTTACCATAAAAAATGTTCAGACTCTGAGTAACTTTTTGCTATAAAAGTTTATCAGATTCTAAGTAACTTTTTGCTATAAAAGTTGTTCAGACTCAAGACAACATTTATTAGAAAAGTTGTTCAAGACTTAGGACAACTTTTTACCATAAAAGTCATTCAGACTCTGAACAACATTTTACTAGAAAAGTTGTTCAGAATCTGATCAACTTTTTACCAGAAAAGTTATTCGGACTTTGATCAATTTTTTACTAGAAAAGTTGTTCAGACTCTGATCAACATTTTACTAGAAAAGTTTTTCAGAAAATGAGCAATTTTTTAGACAAGTTGTTCAGACTCTGATCAACTTTTTACTAGAAAACTTGTTCAGATTCTCAGCTATTTTTTACTGGAAAAGTTGTTCAGACTCTAAGCAACTTTTTGATATAAAAGTAGTTCAGATTCCGATCATCTTTTTACTGAAAAAGTTGTTCAGACTGATCAGCTTTTTACTAGAAAAGTTAGTCAGACTCTGATCAACTTCTTACTTGAAAAGTTGACCAACTTTCTACTAGAAAAGTTGTTCAGACTCTGATCATCTTTTTACTAGAAAAGTTGTTCAGACTGTGATCAGCTTTTTACTAGAAAAGTGTGTTCAGACTCTAATCAGCCTTTTACTAGAATAGTTGTTCAGACTCTGATCAAATTCTTACTTGAAAAGTTCTTCAGAATCTGACCAACTTTCTACTAGAAAAGTTGTTCAGACTCTGATCAACTTTTTACTAGAAAAGTGTTTCAGACTCTGAACAACATTTTACTAGAAAAGTTGTTCAGGCTCTGATCAACTTTTTACTAGAAAAGTTGTTCAGACCCTGATCAGCTTTTTACTAGAAAAGTTATTCGGACTCTAACCAACTTTGTACTAGAAAAGTTGTTCAGACTCTGATCAACTTTTTACTAGAAAAGTTGTTTAGACTCTCATCTACAGCCTGATCAACTTTGATTAACTCCCTGTGATCAACTTTTCTTGAAAAAATCTGAATTTGGTATAAAGTGGTATAAAGTTTCTGGTTCTATTGCACTTAACTGTCTTTGTTTAATTAATTTTGCATTAATAAGATAAATTAAAGTACACTTCTAAATGTAATTAGTTAATAATTTTCATCTAAAACCTGTATACTGAAATGTCATCTAAGTATATGATGGAAATTTGTATATTTTTTTTTTTTGAATAGAATGTCAGTGAAAAGAGAAAGGTAGAAGAATATAAAAGTTACAATTACAACCCACGTTAACAAAAATAAAATGTTTCAATTTCAATCATCTTATTTATTTCCTCCATTTTTATATTTTAAGAATATTGTACATCTTTTTTTTAACATCCTTAGGAAAACATATCTCTAACTGTTTTTGTAGTCTGTCAAGTTTGTTTTTTTCCTCAATGAAATTGGTATTTGGAAGATATGTATGTGGCTTAGGACTGCTCCTTTAAACAAATTATGGAAAGTCTGCATATACATACAGCAGTAGTACTTTTAAAATTATTTTTATTTTTTAGGGACAGACCTATTTTTTCAAAAGTTTATTTTTTTGCCATTTCCGTTTTTATAGGTATCATTTTTCTTTCATACACACACACACACACATTAACAGCATTTTCGTAACCCGTGAAATGTAACGGTTTTATTTTACAAAATATGGTCCTTCGAATTCACACATATAAATTTATAGTTGAGCCCTAACAAGTGTCAATTTTAATTTAATGTTCACTAATTAAAAAGGATGGCTTATAATTGTTTTATTATCTAAAGATATCCGTGTGTTGGAATAAAAAAAAAAACGAATAAATATTAAATGATTGAGATGGATTCTTATTGTTTGTGACAGAAATGTTAAAAAAATTTTAGAAGTTTTAAGCGGAAGTTCGAAAACACAGCAGGTGAATGCTGTATTCGATTCACAAGTATAGTTTTAAAGGACTCCATTTTGGATAAGAAATTAGCTATTAAAAGGAGAAAATAATTGAATGGGTTTTAAAGTTGTCATCAACGAAATAGGTTTTTTTTAAATATATAAAAATAATTTAAGGAAATTTATAAGTAAATACAATGAACTGAACTAAAACTAAACTAGAACTAAACTAGGACTGAACAAGAAGTGAAAGAATGTTTTCACTTAAAACAGGGCATAAAAGTGGTCGTAAAATCGAATCATAATCACATACAGCATATAATTACTTTCCATGAAGACATTTTGACCCAATTTCATTTAAAACTAAACTATGAATATTTAAATATTTCTATTTTCTCACTAAAATTCTTACCTTTTCTAAGTATTATGGTAATAAAATCTCCTGTGTGTGAGTTCTTAAAATTAATTTTACCTTTACATAAATATTAATAATTAAACATACAAATTTACATATAATAATACGTTACTTATGTTTAATCAGAATCATTTAAATGTCAATCAATCATATACATAAATATTTCATTTATAATGTATAAATGTGCGTGCTACGCGTAGTTCATTGTTTGGAAAACGTATTGATTTAATACACAAATTGAATTTTCAGAAACGATATTTTACACAATATTTATTTGTGTTTTTTTTTTTACAATTTTATCAGTTCCTTTCGTATCTATCATTTGAGGTATCTTTCTTTATTTATGTATAAATGAAATTTCATAAATGTTTTTGCGTTTTTTTATTCTATATCCAGGTACATCCATATGTAGCTTTGTAGTAGGAAGGATATGCTTTGTAACATCCAGAACTGAACTGGACTAGAACTAACTAGAACTGAACTAGAACAGAACTATACTAGAACTGAACTAGAACTCAACTAGAACTGAAGTAGAACAGAACTAGAACAGAAATAGAACAGAAATAGAACAGAACTAAAAACAGAACTAAAACAAAACTAGAACAGAACTAGAACAGAACTAGAACAGAACTAGAACAGAACTAGAACTAGAACTAAAACAGAACTAGAACAGAACTAGAACAAAACTAGAACAAAACTAGAACAGAACTAGAACAGAACTAGAACAGAATAGAAACTAGAACAGAACTGGAACAGAACTGGAACAGAACTAGAACAGAACTAGAACAGAACTAGAACAGAACTAGAACAGAACTAGAACAGAACTAGAACAGAACTAGAACAGAACTAGAACAGAACTAGAACAGAACTAGAACAGAACTAGAACAGAACTAGAACAGAACTAGAACAGAACTAGAACAGAACTAGAACAGAACTAGAACAGAACTAGAACAGAACTAGAACAGAACTAGAACAGAACTAGAACAGAACTAGAACAGAACTAGAACAGAACTAGAACAGAACTAGAACAGAACTAGAACAGAACAGAACTAGAAAAGATCTAGAACAGAACTAGAACAAAACTAGAACAGAACTAGAACAAAACTAGAACAGAACTAGAACATAACTAGAACTGAACTAGAACTGAATTAGAACTGAACTAGAACAGAACTAGAACAGAACTAGAACAGAACTAGAACATAACTAAAACAGAACTAGAACAGAGCTAGAACAGAGCTTGAACAGAACTAGAACAGAACTAGAACAGAGCTAGAACAGAACTAGAACAGAACTAGAACTAGAACAGAACTAGAACAGAACTAGAACAGAACTAGAACTGAACTAGAACAGAACTAGAACAGAACTAGAACAGAACTAGAACAGAACTAGAACAGAACTAGAACAGAACTAGAACAGAACTAGAACAGAACTAGAACAGAACTAGAACAGAACTAGAACAGAACTAGAACAGAACTAGAACAGAACTAGAACAGAACTAGAACAGAACTAGAACAGAACTAGAACAGAACTAGAACAGAACTAGAACAGAACTAGAACAGAACTAGAACAGAACTAGAACAGAACTAGAACAGAACTAGAACAGAACTAGAACAGAACTAGAACAGAACTAGAACAGAACTAGAACAGAACTAGAACAGAACTAGAACAGAACTAGAACAGAACTAGAACAGAACTAGAACAGAACTAGAACAGAACTAGAACAGAACTAGAACAGAACTAGAACAGAACTAGAACAGAACTAGAACAGAACTAGAACAGAACTAGAACTGAACTAGACAGAACTACAACAGAACTAGAACAGAACTAGAACAGAACTAGAACTGAACTAGACAGAACTAGAACAGAACTAGAACAGAACTAGAACTGAACTAGACAGAACTAGAACAGAACTAGAACAAAACTAGAACAAAACTAGAACAGAACTAGAACATAACTAGAACTGAACTAGAACTGAATTAGAACTGAACTAGAACAGAACTAGAACAGAACTAGAAATAACTAGAACAGAACTAGAACAGAACTAGAACAGAGCTAGAACAGAGCTAGAACAGAACTAGAACAGAACTAGAACAGAGCTAGAACAGAACTAGAACAGAACTAGAACAGAACTAGAACAGAACTAGAACAGAACTAGAACAGAACTAGAACAGAACTAGAACAGAACTAG